GGACTGAAAAGTTACATACTGCATGATTTCATCTAAATGTAAAAAACCCCTATATTTCTTTAAACCATGCTAAATTCTTGTCTTTTTAAGGCCGTGTCTAGATGGGTGTAGACAAAGACCCAAGACAGTATTTGCCTTGATACGAGGTATTTTAAGGTGACAGAACCTGGCTACTGAAATCAACATATTTAAGTAACAAGCACTAGGGATTTAAACATAACTATGAGGACCAGAATAGGGGACTGTTCATCCATCTTTTAGTTAGTAAGTATCAGAGGGGTAGCCGTGTGATCTACAACCCATCCTGGTCAATGATCCCTTGCTTTCACAGGCCTTGGGAGGCAGGCCAGTCCTTGCCCACAGACAACCCGCCAACCTGAAGCATACTCACCAGCAACTACAAACTGTGCCATAATAATTCTAACTCGGGAACCAATCCATGCAACAAACCTTGGTGCCAACTCTGCCCTCATATATATACCCCAGCAACACCATCACAGGACCTAACCAGATCAGCCATACTGTCACTGGTTCATTCTCCTGCACATCTACTAATGTAATATATGCCATCATGTGCCAACAATGCCCCACTGCTATATACATCAGCCAAACTGGACAGTCCCTACATAAAAGAATCAATGGACACAAATCTGATATTAGGAACAGCAACATACAAAAACCTGTAGGGGAACACTTCAGTGTCCCTGGACACACAATTGCAGATCTAAAGGTAGCCCTCTTGCAGCAAAAAAAAAAAAAACTTCAGGACCAGACTTCAAAGAGAAACCGCTGAGCTACAGTTCATCTTCAAGTTTGACACAATCAACTCTGGATTAACCAAAGACTGTGAATGGCTCGCTAACTACAAAAGCAGCTTCTCCTCCCTTGGAATTCACACCTCCAGATCAGCTACTAGAAGTGGGCCTCATCCTCCCTGATTGGATCCACCTCGTCATCTCCAGCCTGATTCTGGCCTGCATATTTATACCTGCCTCTAGAAATTTCTACTACATGCATCTGACGAAGTGGGTCTTTGCCCACGAAAGCTTATGCTCCAACACTTCAGTTAGTCTATAAGGTGCCACAGGACTCCTCGCCGCTTTTTTAGTTAGTAAGTTTGCTATAACGATCAGAAGTTTTCTGTACATAGTAGAATAGGTGTTGGATTTAACACTGCTATTTCTTAATAAAAGATTCCGGCTTTTAAGCTGGTTCTGCCCCACCGAGCAATTAGTCAACTTGTCACATCCATACCAGCAAGATGGTTTTTTCCCCCCCTCCCTAACAACTCCACTGTTCAGGAGTTTGATGAAATATGAACCACTAAGTCAGCCTACGATACCATACCTACTTCTTGGTGTGAAATGTAAGTCAAACCCTACCTCAATGACAAAAGGGTGATTACCACTGAACATTTCTGACTCCCAGTAGAGCACAGGCCTTCCCTGAATTACATTCCTCTCTGAACTCGGGCAGATCCTTCAGACAAACATCCAGTGATTCATTACTCCTAATATTCAAAATCCATGTTTTATTTCTAACCTGAAGTTGTTCAGCTGTTGTGTTTTTTTCCTACTAGCCTGTTATTTGTTCCCCACAAGACTGATCAAGTCACCCCATAATCATCATCGTTCTCTGGACCCGCTCATTTTTCAATATCGTCCTTGAATTGTGCACCACACTCAGACAGCAGAAGTAGCAATCACACCCTGTGCCAAATACAGAGGTGCTTTACACACACCCCCAATTTTTTCCTGAGAGACTAAAACAAAGTGCCCCCTCCCCAATTACAATTAGTAAACATTCTAAAGCAAAGCATAACATTAGAGACATTTGGAAGGGTAATGTATTCTTCATACCTGGCCACAGTGAACAGAATAATAATTTCCACAGGCAGCAACTCAGACTACGGTCTGCTCTTACACTTGGGGCTTATTTCTTGTGTCTTGGTGTATCTGCACTAATGCCAAGGGCTCATGTTAATGCATTGCACTGGTGTAAAAAGTTATTCCCACTGGGCTCACCTAGTCCAGTGAGTCTCAAACTGGAAGTTAGGATCCAAAATGGGTTGCAGCCAGTGCTCCCTCTAGTTTTTCCCCACTCCCACGCAGAACTAATTTCTTATGTGCACCAATAAGGAGGCAAGGTGTTACATCACCTTCATATTGGGGCGCGCAAAATTCTCACGGCAGAGGTGGGGTTCTAAGCGTGAGAGGGGGCTCAGGCTGGAGCCAGATGATTGGGATGTAGGAGCATGAAGACTCCAACTAGGGATGCAGGCTATGGGGCGGGACGATGGTTGAGGGGCAGAGGGCTGGCACAGAGTGTTGGGGTGCAAGGGTTCTGTTTAGGGGGCAGGCTCAAGGGTGAGGTGCAGAGATGTGAAGAGGGCTCCAAGGCCATCTGGGTCTGGGCTGCTCCAGACACATTGTGGGAGGTCTGGGCCGCAACATGGGGGGCTTCTCCAGAGCCGGGCCATGCAGGCTGCCCAAGCCACAGTAGGGGGGTGCTGGCAGCCCTGGCTGCATTTGGGCCACTGGAGAGGTGTCTGGTTCGGGCTGTCCGTCCCCCAGCCTCCAGGCTGGAAGCAAGGATGAAAGTGGGTCAGCCTTTACGTGCCTTGAGTGCCTGCGTGGAGCAAATAGGTGGTGGCTTACAGGGAACTTAACGTACGACTCTGTTTGAATGGGATTTCCAGTGCTGGCATTAGACTTGCTGGGGCCAAAGCCCCTTGGTGGCAGGACTCAGGTCTCAGTT